GCAACCAAGGTACATCCCCCTGACCGGAATCAAACCCGGGACCCTACAGTCCCCAGGCCGACGCTCTATCCACTGAGCCAAACCGGTTTTTGGCAAAATATATATATATTTTTTTTAAAAAGCCAGGCAACACCTTCAAAATTCTGCCTAAAAATGTTAGCTGACCCGCTCAGTTCATTGAGCACATTAAACTTACCTGTGGCTGCATTTTCTAATTCATAGCAAGGATCCATTTCTTCCAGTTTCCAGTAAGTTTGCTCACTGTCCTTTAAGCCTCCCAAGGAGTTTCTCAAAGGCTATCAGACGTTCAGTCTTGGGAAAGCGCCTTAGCCATTCACTAACACTCTCCTCTCAGTCCTCCCAGCTCCCACCCACTGGCGCTCCCAAGATCTGCTAAGTACCAAAATCTGCATTATTTTTATTGTGAAACAGGTTACCCCAAAACTTGGTGGCTTAAGAGAGTAATAATCGGAAGGTTTCTGTGGGTCAGGAACATGGAGTGGCTTAGCTGGCAGTTCTGGACGGGGTCTCTTACAAGGTCTCGGTGAAGACGCCAGCCAGAGCTGCAGGTGTCAGGTTTGGGGCCAGAGGATTCACTTCCCGGTGCCTTCTTCACATGGCATGGAGGGCTGGCTATGGGCAGGAGGCTCAGTTCCTCTCCATGTGGCCTCCAGAGGACTGCTTGAGTGTCCTTACAACATGGTAGCTAGCTTACTCTAAATTATCCAAGAGAGCAAGGTGGATTCCGCTGTGCCCTCTGTGATCTAGCCTCAAATCACATTCCATCACTCCCGCAACACCTTATTGGTCTCCCAGGCCAGCCAGTTCACTGAGGGAGGGCTCTGAACAACTCCATGGAGACTAAGGAGGTGATTTCTGGGGCCATCCTGGAATCCGGCTGCCTTCGGCAAGTCACTTAGCCTTTCAAGCTATAAAATAAGGACGTGATTGTGAGGACTAATTGAAATGTGTGTGCAGTGCAGGGACTGCCAGAGTGAATTTGGGGGGCTCTGATTGACAGTCTTTGGTGGTGTCCCTGTCAGGCTGCCAGGAGATAGCAGAGGAATTCCGTGCCCAAGAAATCGACGGGCAGGCCCTGCTGCTGCTCAAGGAGGACCATCTGATGAGTGCTATGAACATCAAACTGGGGCCCGCCCTGAAGATCTACGCTCGCATCAACATGCTCAAGGACTCGTAGGGCTGGCCCGGCAGCCACGGTTCTGGCCCAGGACGCCTCCACCCAGCTGAGCAGAGCCAGACAGACATTCCTGAGGGGCCCAGACATGGGGCCAGGCGGAGGGCAGGGGCTCTCCCTGTGGGGCATGGCTGGGGGGGGGGTG